TACCCCTCAAGGTGATTCGGTCTGTCACTAACTTCACGTAGGAAGAAAAAATAAGACTGATATGAACCTTTACCCAATTAAAAGCAGTCCAGTGCACATGGACTGCTGTGTATGGCCGAACAATAACCAATAATGTAATGAAGTTTCACAGAACGCTGAAAAACAGATGCTGCCTCCTTTTTCCTGGTAATTAAAAGACAGACGAAGACGAAGAAGAAGACGAAGACGGAGCAGAATTCTACTTCTTTCCCTTCTCCGAAGTCAACAACCCGAAACCACCGAAGTTCCTCTCTCCATAACCGAAGCAATGGCCGTTTGCAAAGACGACGTCGAGATGCTGAAGCCTCGTACGGACAAGAGGGAGAACCGGCAGATCGTCCTCAAGAACTCCCTCCAAGTCCTCCTCATTACCGATACGGAAACCGACAAGGTACTCGGCAATTACTTCTCCGTTCTCCCTTTCATTTACGTTAGAAATCAACAGTTCTCATTGTTTCATGATGTCTCAGTGTGCTGCTGCTATGGACGTCGGTGTTGGTTACTTCTCTGATCCTGATGGCCTCGAAGGCCTTGCTCACTTTCTCGGTACTTCTTCCTATCATGGTTTTCGGCTTAATGTTTCAATTTCCGGTTCCTGGGAACTGGGTGCTTGGTCTTAGTGGTTGCTTTTGGTTGTGATGTATTTTCTCAGAGCACATGCTGTTCTATGCTAGTGAGAAATATCCTTTGGAGAATAGTTACTCAAAGTACATTTCAGAGGTAATATATGTCTTAAATTTAATACAGTCTTCCTTGTTCTATTTGATGGTTGACCTAAGAAGAATGAATAATATTGCTTTCCAATATGCTATGATTTTTTTTTTGGTCGGCGCAATATGCTGTGATTTAGTGTTAGGAAATGGAAGGATTTGATATGTTTTTAGTTGATGAAATGAGCTGCATCTAATGGGGTTTTTAATTCTTTCTAAGCTTGATTAATAATTTCAGAACTCATACTAGAAAAGAGGACTGTGGACTATGTTAAAGTAATTTATTTTTATCATTTTATTGACCTTCCCAATGGTTTATGCACAGCACGGAGGCAGTACAAAGGCCTTCACAGATTCTGAGAATACCAACTTTCATTTTGATGTTAATACTGATAGTTTTGAAGAAGCATTGGACAGGTAGGCACTGCTTGATCAATTTTTTTATTTTGATTAATTCTCTGTGAGGTTGGATTAGTTGTCCTGATATCTTCTTCAGATTTGCACAGTTCTTCATTAAACCGTTGATGTCAGCCGATGCAACCATGAGGGAAATCAAAGCAGTTGATTCTGGTTTGCCATTTTCTGGATTTAGTTTAGTATATTATTTCTCACATTGTTGAACCACAATTTATTCGTGCTTATCCTCCCTCTCTCTCCAGAGAACAAGAAGAACTTGCTTACTGATTATTGGAGAATGAGCCAGGTAATACCTCCACTGTTCTGGACTCTCTTT